TGCCCTCCCCCCGCAAATATCTGCTGACATTGGTGTCCATGTCCAGAGCCGCACAGGCACAAGCCCCGCAGATCCTGCTGCAGAACGTTTTCCAGCAGAAGCCGAGTTCTGACAAATTTAAACGCAAGAATAATTAAACGGGAAATCCCACCCCAAAACAATTACACCGAAATTATAGACCGCTCTGTCTGAACTCCCCCTCACTGTCAGGCAGCATTATCAACACAGCTGTGATACTCCAGCTCTTTGGTGTGTGTGTGTGTGTGTGTGGGGGGGGAAGGGGTTGGCAAGCAGAGCAGGACCCAATTAGTATGGGAAAGCTGGGGGAATTTAAACTGAAATGTTGGCATGGAGACCCTGACATACCTCTCTGCTGAGGTAAGGGTTTGTACATGCCCCCAGGATGGGCTGGAGAGCAGCAGACCAGCGTGACCAGGATCTGCCAAAGGCATCGAGCTCTCCATCCCCACTTAAACATATCCACACCACCTGAGGAACATGAGTCATGTGACCTCCTGTAAGCTCCGGCTGCTTCGACATAGAGAGGCCTGTCTATAATTACCCTGAGGAGAAGCTTCTGTTCCCGTCAGGAAGGACGTCGGCCTGCCGGCCAGGCCGGGAACTTCCCACAAACTCAGGTTAAGAGGTACCGCTTAAGCAGGCCAGCTCCGCGATCTAGACGACAAATCAGATTTCTTGTCCTCACTAATGGATGTGTAATCAGCATTCCCGACGAGCGGGCCACAATACTGGCGCCTGGATGGAGCCAGTCGGGGGGGGGGGGGGGGCAGGGGGGCTGTTCCAACACAAGGAGGAAGCATGTGGAGGCCACACCTCACAGTGGGAGCCGGAGGAAAGTGAGGGCAAGGTGAGGAGCCTAGTTTCTGCAGCACTTCCTCCTGTGGGGCAGATTGGCGTGCCGTTCCCAGGCAACAGTAGCCTTAGATGCTGTAGCACCCAGCACATGGTCCCTTAAGACCCCTGAGTGAAGCCCTCACTATGTCGGTTCTGCTTCACTGATGGTCAGAAGTAGCACTCCCTGCTCCTCCCCTTCCAAGCCCAGCTTGAGGTCCCAGTGCCTCTACGGAGGTGCATGTTTGCATTCATGGAGGGTCTTTTTCTGCCTTTAAAACCCATCACCCCTGTAAACCTCAGGGTATCCACCCCAAGCACCAGGGGCAATTGTAGGATTTTTAAAGGTATAGGACATAAGAGGGACCATAGCCAATGATATGTTTAGAATCAATGACAGACAGGGGAGCGGGCGCTCCACCGACCAATCAGCTTTCAGCTGGGGCCAGTGGCTCTGTGGCCCCGCCCCCAGTGCATCCTCCTTGTAGCCTGAAGCAGACCTTCTCCTGGAGCTCCACTCTGCTCCATTCTGAGGTGACTGCCTGTCGATCAGGAACCTCACCGGTGTCTCTGCACACTAACACACCAATCCGATCTCTGCCTTCACTCTCTAATGCAGGCCTCTTCAAATCTGGCCCTCGATTCCAAATCCAGGCCTTGTTTTCAGTTCTACCAGGTAGTTAGTTTAATAATTACTGGTTCTGATTGGTCAGAGGCTTCACACCTGACTCACAGGTAAAGGAAGGATGGAAAACCAGCAGTGCTCGGCCCTTGAGGACCGTGATTTGAATAGCCCAGGTCTAAATCCTCTCATTTGATTCTCATGGAAAATATGAATTATGCAATTCCCATTATCCTGTACATGCAAACAAAAGGAAAACAGGCCTTTCTCTCAGGATAACCGCAATAACATTAAATATTTAAATTAAAAACCTAATATATAATAAAGTGCCAGGGTTATAAAATATTGACCAACTCCGAAACATGCATTTAAAAAGTACATATTACATTATGCTTTTCATTTTTATTTGTAAATTTTCACTCATTAAGGCATAAATACTCATAAAGATCCCACTCTGCATTTCCGTTACCGGTTACCTTCCTGGAAAGTTTCTCTTTATACTGATATGCCAAACAAAATGTTAGGGACCCCCAAAGAGGAGGGCCGGCTTCCTCACCTAGCTTTCCACTCCAAAGTGGAGAATTTTCAGCCTTGGATCTCCTTAAAACAGACAAGGGGAGGGCTTGGTCTCCAGCAGCGTCCTGACGTCAGACACATGACATCCTGCGGGTTGGGGGGCCACACGGTCCACATCGGGCTCTTTGCAGATAAATGCAAACCCCAGGTTCATTCGAACCTGTCACTTCCTGGCTGGTAGACATACTGTCTCCTTTTAGGGTTCTGGGACAAACGCTGTGAGAGATATCTCCCAGGAGGCCACTGCAGAGGACTTATGCTCCAGTTTGCCCAAGCAGCAGTTTCATCCCCAAGCAGCAGTTTCACATGTCGCTACCAAGCACAGGCTGGCCTCCCCAGATAGTGACCTGACCCCAAAGACTCAGATAGACTGTGAAAGATACACACACACACACACACACACAGACAGACACACACACACACACACACAGACACACACACACAGACAGACACACACACACACACACATATACACACACAAACACACACACACACACATATATACACACACACACATATTCATATACAAACACACATACAAACACACAAACACAACCTACCCAGCCCTAACCTTAACCATAAGGAACCAAACAGAAAGCAAGTCTTTTGGCATTTTTAGTTTTTTGATTGAATTTACAGATGTTTGTGGGGACCCGAAAAATGGCCCCCACGATGTACAGTAATATACACATAATCCACACACACACACACACACACACACACACAGACATACACACAGACACACACATATACAGACACACACACACATAAACACACACCCGTACAGATGCACAGCATATCTACAGAGGAATTGAGGAAAGTTTAGGGGTATGACTGTTTTTAAAAATTGCCCTTTTTTGCCGTGGGGGGGGAGGGGGGCATTAAACAATGTCAATGGACCAAACACACCAAGAACCAACCCAGAACCTGAGAAAACTTGGGGGGGGGGCAATAATCACAGACAAGCGAAGGGAGAAAAGTGAGTCCCTATATTGAGGGGGGTGGGATTAACCCCCTGTGTCGCACATGAGATGGGGGCTGGCAGCCTCATCCCTCCTGCCCCCCCCCCAACCTAAGGGACCCACCCGGCAGCACGGCCATGCCCGCAACACCTGACTGTCCTCACACTGGGTGTTCAGAGGGGCCTGTTTCACAGCAGACTCCCCCACAGAAACCACAACAAGTGATAAAACAGCTGCAGACAGCAGCTTCACTAATGTCCAGGCATCTCCACCTGCGGGGTGGTGGTGGGGGGGGGGGGGGTGTTTAAGGCAAGGTCCTGTCAATCACAGCAGCCGGAACCGGCCCACACAGGCAGCATAAAAAGCATAATCAGCGCCGTAATTTTCTGTGGACCGTTTCTCAGATCAAGGAAGGAGATGGGGGTGGGGGGTGCGGAAAAACTCTAACGGTGCAATCAAATCAACACGGTAATAAAGGCAGAGTCCCGGGTGGGTAACGTCCCTCGGAATTACCCTCGTAGATCGAGTCAGGAAACTGACGGCAGAGGCGGCTGTCGCGCGTCGAGCTGATTGAGCGAGAGGAGAGGGAATCACGGCGCCTGCAAGCCAGAACATCACTGGCAGTGCTGGTTTGTTTGTTTCCAAGTGGGGGCTTTGGGGGGGGGGGGGAGAGGGAATAAATTAAACCGGGCTAATTTATTTACACAACCCTGAAAATCCGTCTCCATGTTTATCATTAAAGCGGATGTGTCATTTGGTATTCCGGGGATCGCACCGTAGTTCTGACCCATTTCCCTCTCACGGGGGTGAGACGCCCTCACTGTGGCCTTCCGGAAATGTCCGGGTCTTCCCCGCTTTTTGTCTCGGGATGGAGGGGGCCTTTTCTCTCCAGAAAGGGCCCACGCCGATGGTAACGATGTTCTTTTCCAATTCTCCTCTGGGGGCTGTAAGTAACCCGTGCGACACCTTTATTTACTTTGCGAATGAGCCGTAAAATTAAAAATGGAACTAAACAAAACGACATTTTCAGTGATATTACCACCCACCCAAGACCATCCCTCATCATTTCAGTAGTAAAAACGCATGACGTAGAGAGATTCCCCAAGGAACCAACTCGCCTGTAACATCAGAGTTCTAATGAGATTAAAGCTGGAATGATGACCCCACCCATCCCGTTGGGTTCAGTCCGCCCCTTTCACCCACACGCGCGCCTCCGTAATTACTACTAGAACATTTACGGTGAAGTGACTCGGCGTTCTCTCCAAAGTGCAAAGACGGTTCCACGTGAGGAATCGGACCCCACAACCCGCCCATCAGGAAGCACAGCTCTTTGCAAGGTCCGTAACCTCAGTGTTACACGGCGTGGACGCACAGCAGGAAGTCGTACCGAGCCTAATGACCATTTTAAAAGTGCACGCTTGAGGGAATCCACCACACGGCTTAAAAAACTGTTAATAAAGACGTGAGGTGCAGCACAGCTTGAGGCTGACATTTATGGGGTCAGAGGTCACCAAAAAGCAGAAGACGGGGCCGTCCTCCCCCTCCTTCTCAGTAGCTCTTATATTCACCAGTAGGTCACAGGTTCAAGGTGATGAGGGTGATGAGGTATAATTCCACTCAGGCCCACCAGCGAGACCCCTGCTGTCTACTGTGACACAGTTAAATGTCTGTGCTCATAGGCCACCGATAGTGGCATGGAACACAAAACAGGAAGTACAACGGGCCGGGGGGGTTCCCTTTCATTAGCCCCCCCCAAGGAACACAGCAGGACTCCACTGTCACCAAGCCGCTCATTATGGGGGCTACGGACCCTCAAGTTCCCCGGGGTCTGGCCCGAATGAAGGTCTCTCAACGAAACACACAAGCGAATCAAGTTCTGTATCAGGTCCTGCGCAGGAGTGACCATCAGAATGACAGTGGAATCAGTGATGTCAACAAGGGGACAGATGGGAATCCCGAGAACTACCGGGGGGGGGGGGGGGGCTTACCGTGCTCATGTCCAGGACCGTCTCCACCCACTCCTTGGCCTCCTCGTACTCCTCATTCAGGCCCATGATGTAGAGCGTGTCCAGTGAGTCCACGATGCTGGCTCCCCTTAGCCCACCTGCGGAACACAAACCATGCATGGCATTTTCCTCACGGTTGGGTAAAAGCCGCCCCCCCCCCATCTCAAAGCATTCCTCATTAACCTTAAAGCGCAAAGGTGTGGATGATCATTACCCAGCTGGCGTCAGGCCGGCGACTCAGCGACTCAGCGCCGCGACTCAGCGACTCAGCGCCGCGACTCAGCGACTCAGCGCCGCGACTCAGCGACACTGCGACTCAGCGCCGCGACTCAGTGACTCAGCACCGCGACTAAGCGCCGCGACTCAGCGATTCAACTCAGCGACTCAGCGCCGCGACTCAGCGCCGCGACTCACCGACTCAGCGACGCAACTCAGCGACTCAGCGCCGCGACTCAGCTCCGCGACCATGACCAGCCACATCCAAATTCTCACAACATGCAGAATGAGTGTTTTCCTCCATTAAGGGGCCGCATTTAGATGCACTTAATTTGAAGTTATTATATTCACCACACAAGCTTAATGAGAAATGTTCCAAAGCCTTTATTAAATCTCGCAGCCTTTAAATGGGTTGTTATTTATTTATTTATTTTTTTCTCGATGAAATGTGCACACGCAGCTGAAACGAGTTATGAGAGCGGAAAAAGGACCCTATATTACGGGGGGCGGGGGGGTTAGAGAGCTGTCCTGCTCTTCCTGGAGGAGCCCTGCCCATTTCCCATTTGGCTGTGAAGCTGATCATCTGGCACAGACCCGATCACCACACCCGCCTTCCCTCTCCCTCTCTCTCTCCCTCTCCCTCTCTCTCTCCCTCTCCCTTACTTCCCCTGCTAAGACCCTCTACACCAGCAGCCTGCCCCCCCCACTTGCCACACACTGCCCTATCTGCCCTCACTCCCCTCTGCCTTTCATCACCCTGACAGTAGGGGACGCCATTGAGCCCATCACTTTGCATGCTGCCAGTTATTTCTGCTCCCGTTTCCCATCAACACTGTGCAGACAGACTCCCGGTTCAATAATGGTGCCGTTTCCCTGCATTTTTTCAGACTCCCCCCTCCCCCCCCCCCGCAACGTGGGCCTTCTCATCTATATGCCGCATTTTTTGCTGTGTTGCTATTTGCAGACATGAAAAAAGGCCGCGGGGAGCCGGAGGAACGGCAGAGGCCGCGGGATCGCTGGAGCACGGCGAATTCCCACCGGAAACGGGAGCGACGCCAGGCGTGATTTATGGGGCGGGATGACAGAAGGGGCAGATCAATCAATCACGTCCACCCAAAGCCATCCACAAGCGCACTATTAAAGGCGCCTTATTTATTTCAGAGGCAGACAGAGACAGCCCACAGCCTCAGGCAGGGAGGGGGGCAAGGGGGCAGGCTTTGTAGGTATCATAAATAAAGCCGGTCCGATGAATCTGATTTGGGGGGAGTTAATATGGCCAACCCCATGGATGCTGCTCAATACTCCCTGCGACTCAAGTCAAACTTGGCAATTAAAAGTCCAATCGGAGACAGGCAAAGAACAGCTGGACAGATGCCGGACACTGAAGGGCGGTCAGATCAGGGACGGCAGATCCGCACCCGCGGGCTTTTCAGAGTATTTCTGGGTATGCTGACATTTGGAGACACAGATGTACGGCAACAGCGTCGGCATTAACATGGTGTTGCGTCCCGATTTTCCATCGAGTTTTACTGTAATTCCCGCAATTACACGCTAAACACGTCTTTTTGTGTACGTTCTGCTCGAAACAGACATGAGGTACAACATGTAATCCCCTAATCGGATTTGTCTGGCCACGATAATGGTGCGGAGGTGGAGGTTCGGCCCTTTAAAGCGGCTCATCGCCGGGTCCCTGAACCACAGGTTTGCCCCCAGCTGCCCCCACAGAACAATCACCTTCAGAGCCAAAGCTCCCAAACAACCGGCCAGCAGCTCTAGATCACATCGTAACATCGGTTCCTTTCCGGTGGTCTGTGCCTCAGCGAGTCAGGCCCCCTGTGCCTGTGATTGGTTGCTGGTTTGAATCCCTTCCTTGGCAGAATGGTCACGGATCCATTAGACCCTACAGCAAAGCCACTAACCTCCCCACCCCCCACTCCCAAAATGCTCCAAGGATGCTGGATAAATGACTGACCCGGTGTTCGGGCCCCAAGCTTCACACGCAACGTCTCAGAGGAGAGCATGCTGGGATATGCAAAAAGAAGCATTCCAATGTACCTATGAAAATGGCAATTAACGCATCATTTCATTAAATTTTTTATACCAATTTAGACGAGTGGATAGTTCCTAGTTTAATCTACAGTGTCGGACGGGTGTGCGTGACGCTGCAGGAGTTGGACACACACTGTGACACAGTGTTCTTCTTCTACACACACACACAATGCGCACCTGTGTGTGTGCGTGCATGCGTGTGTCCGTGGTGTTCATTCATCACGCCTGTCACAGCAGTCTGCAGTGGCCCGGAGATGCCTCTCTATAGTTTAATCACCGAGATCACACACTCACGCACACACCCAACAGAGGGATTATTGAGTGCGACAGGAGTGATGTAGCGAGATGTCCGGGATCACAGTAATCCTGAGAGGTATCGTGCGCCTCATATCTACACGGGTCCGCATTTCAAAGGTACATTTAAAGACTATCTACAGGAATTCAGGCCTGTAGCTGTATTCATGACAGCTTCTCACATTTTGGAAGGTCCCATTGGGTCTTCACGGTCTTCTAGGGAGCAGGAAAGCGGTAACCTCTCCAATCCAGCAGCCCGCCTGGCGCATGAACCGTCTGGAGGACCTGACCCTGTCAGTGACACCTGGACGCATCCCAGATAGTGGTCACATCAGAGGTTAACGTTCCACTTCATGTCTGATGTTCATTTACCCCCATCACATTTCCTCTGATTCAACACACCTCTTTCGATCATAGACACATTTTATAAGTCCTACAGCTGCCAGCATACTGACACAGAATGACACATTCTGACAGATACACCACGGTAAGTACTTATAGATACACAAAGTAAGTACTGACGGATACAGCACGGTAAGTGCTCACAGATACACAGTGGTAAGTACTGAAAGAGATACAAAATGGTATGTACTGATAGATACACCATGGTAAGTACTGACAAAAAAACCATGGTAAATACTGAGAGAGATACAGAATGATAAGTACTGACAGATACCCAATGGTAAGTACTGATAGGGATACAGAATGATAAGTACCGACAGATACTCCACGTTAAGTACTGACAGATACAAAATGGTAAGTACTGATAGGGATACAGAATGATACTGTCTGTATAAGTACTGACATATACAGAACAATAAGTACTGAGAGATGTATCATGTTAGGTACTTAAAGATACATAACAGTAAGTACTGAAAGACACAGAATGAAAAATAGTGAGAAATACACAATATTACCGCACACATACACAGTCAACTTGAGTTCCAGGTGTCACTCAGTTAAGCTTGGATAATGGATAATATAATGGCAATAAGGTAAATTTCAATTAAATTTATCACAATGTACTCTATACACCCACCCCCCTCCCCACACACACACACACACACACACCCTGGCAAATTTCATCACCAATATTTAAATATACCGAACCCTGCTAGTATAATATCTGTACGGTATGACAGTATGAAAAATTAGCTACTGGCCAAGCCTACTTTCAGTAATTTGGGGCTATTTCCATAGAAATAACCTTATATTTTCAAGGAAGTGTAACTATGGCTGATTCTGATCAATCATGCAAACAGTGAAATATCTGTCAGCCGCAGCAAAATTATAAACTTAGAACAAATTTTGTTATTTGGTCTTTCTGTGATATGTGTCACTCTATACCGTAGCTAAATGCCATATAAGGACGCTTCTGGGAGTTTTACTAACAGAAAAATGTTTGGTTCAGAAAGATAACCAATCAGATTTTATAGGAAGTGGGTCCAAGCAACTAGAAGAGATGGGACCAGGACAGCGGATTGGTTGACCCACCTCCTCTAGTTGCTTGGACCCACCTTCTCTACAATCTGATTGGTTATCTTTCTGAACCAATCATTTTTTGCTCTCTGCACATGAGAATATTTGAGGATGGCTGTCTTAGTGGACCTACTGCCTCAATATTTACCTCCTTTTTTGTTATAAAACTCTGCCCCTCAAGGAATATTTCCAGCAGTCTGTATCTTTGGGATGTGGGGTTTGTGAATGTCCCAGGCCCTTGTTTAAAGGCCTCTCTACCACACACCCCTTTGGCCAGTAAGCCCTGGTTAGTTAGTGTTAGCATTAGCATTAGCATCGCGGAAATGCTTTGCTGTCGGAACCGGAATGCCCTCTAAATGCTCACGCAGAAAATGCTCAGCAACAATAACCCTGTGTGAAGAAGCAGCTTCCCTCTGCCACAGGAGGGCGTACTATTTTCGCATCCACTGCAGTGTGCTCTAAGAGCCATTGTTAGCTGCTGTATCTCCCTGCAAAGGCTGGGTTTGCTCTCCACAGCGAGCGTGAGGTAGCGGGACGGAGCGGCAGGGGAACGGAGCGGGACGGAGCGGCAGGGGAACGGAGCGGGACGGAGCGGCAGGGGAACGGAGCGGCAGGGAGACAGAGCAGGCCCAGCCCCCCCGGAGGCTCTCCGGCTGGCTCAGGATCTCCTCGCCGTCTGCGGTCCACCTCACCTTGGCAGGGGAGGCGCTGCTTCACTGTCGGGGGTAGGGGTGCTAATTGCTTCTTACTGATGAGGAGGAAACTTCTCCAGAAAGTTCCCTGCTGGCCTCCCATGATAGTAAATGATGCACCATGTGGTGGCGGGAT